TTTTCAAAGACATTAAAGACCATTTTTTTAACAATATGGGGTTTTAATTTTGTCAACATATTTTGATATTGGTTTGTAACAATGTTTCACTGTTATCATTGTGAATATATTTTAAGTAACATATAGTTCCAATGTTCAGTGCTATATTTTCAAAACATTTTTGAGAACATTATTAACAATTTTGTATATTTATATTAAACCGAATATTTGGTATACTTGTTTAACCATTTAATTCAGTGACATGTTTAACAATATGTTATATTTATTAATTCACAATTGTTAAAATGAGAGTCAATCAAAAAGACAAAAATTACTATCAATCTTAGGAAAAAAATGTTTTACATAATACATATTCCTAGTAAATATATTCAGAAACAAAATAAATCATATTTAAATTATATTATAGGTCATATAATAGATTAATAATTAATTAAAATATAAAAATGTTATATTTAATAATGCCTATATTATGTATATGTAATGCAGTAACTGAAAACATTTCTTTTTATTAATAAATAAACACAGATGGACAAAAGTTATATTATAAAAAGTTATATTATCAAAAGATCATAATATTATACATAAAGTAATATAATAAAACAGAAAACTATTAAAAGTAGCTGTGTACAAAAATAAAAAAAAATTATAATACTGTTGTTCATTGATATTTTAAAATAATTATAAATAATATATAATAATATTAATTATATAAAGTAAAATAAAATTATACTGATGTTTCTTACTTAAACATAATATAATATTTTATTATATAATACTGAAGAATATAATAGAATAATAAAATAATTTACACGACATATTATATATTGATAATAATAATCATTTAGTAATAATAACATAAAATAATACTTAGTTAAATAAACCATGGATAAATTTTATTGTGAATCTTTTTGAGGATTTTTAGCTGATAATTTTTTGATTCTATTAGAAGCTTGTGCCAACCAATTTTTTAATGGTTTTTCTTTTTCAGTGTTAGGGAGATTTTGTGAAGAAAATGGTTTCATTTGGCGAATAGTTTCTAAACAAACAAAAAACAAATCATTTGTTATTTTTCATTGACCATGTATCTATATTTATTAATCCATTTACAGGCTTAAATACCTATACTATCTATCAATAAGTATATTTTGAGACGTTTAAATACTAGGTACCTATATATTAATGTATATTGAATATATTTTTTCTACTTTTAAACATATTATATACTTTACATAACATATATTATATATTTACTAAACATATTTCGTATTTTTGTTAAATTTAACGACAACTACTAAAATCTTATCTTTATAATAATATACTATATGCTGCTGATAATATGAGTGATAGGTTAGGTTCTTGTACTAATCTTGAAGAAACATTTATATGATTGAATTGATACATAATAATTTTAATTAATGTTAAATAATAAAACTTTAATTTCTGAAATGTGATCATTTTAGTTATTGTTTTAAATTTAAATATACTTGTAATTATAGTTAATAATTATAAATATTAAATATTGTTAGTTAAGAAATAAATAAGGTATAAAAACAATTTATTATTGTTTAAACAACCTATATGTACATATATTTACCTTCTATATTATACTAAATATTAATTTTATCTCAACTTTGCAAATAATTTGAATTTAGTTGTCAATACACTCAAAGCTTAACTAATATTTATAAATAGCAAAAGTTTTATAAAAAATATATGTATTATTATTTATTAATAATTTTGTACCTAATTGACAACTAAAAATTTTAAAATTTGACAAAATATAGTTTTTAAGTTATTTTTACAATACTGGTGATAATAGTATTTATATGATGTTTATAAGTTATAACATTTAATATGAATTGGTTTGCTAATCATTTTAATAAGTAATTGGAAATTTTTACTATTGATTCCCCAAAGTAAAAACTTCTAATTTGTTAACAAAAACCTCCATCAAAATCAAAGATTCGAGCCTTTTTTTTCTACTTAAAACTTGTGTTATGAAGTTTTATATAAATTTCAATGATTTTAATCATTGCACTGAAAAAATCTAAAAAGTGATAATAATGAGTATTAAGTAATTTGCTTAAATAGTGAGCTACAATAAAAATAGTGAGAAAGGCAAGTGAGTGAAAAGTCTGTATATCTATTAAGACATGAGCGGAAAAGTTCATTACCAAAATTGTATAAATAAAAGATTGGTTAACTTTTATAAATTACTAATAATAACTATGTAGATAGTTAATACGTATGGAGTATTAAATTGATTAAAATTGCATTAAAAATATTTACCAAATATCACAGAGCAAGTTTGGAGTGTAGAAAAATTTTCTTTTCCTTTGATTCCTATGTAGGAGTAGTTAGTTAGAAAATTATCAGTGAATAATGTTTGCATAATTTTTCTTATAGTTTCAGACAAATTCTGTCCTCTGTAACGAGCTAGTTCTTTAATCTACATACAAAATAAAATTCAGTAATTATAATCTTATATAATTTGAAAGTAATGTAATTTGCTATTAATACCAATTTTCTTTTATATGTTGTATCGTTTAATAATTTGTCCTCAAGATCATTTAAATCAGTTGCAGTATCCACACGAGTTATAGTGTTATCAAATGAATCTTCGGTAATATCGGCAGATACACATCCTTGTAATCTTTCATTAATTTTTTCTTGCATACACATAATAATATCAAGACGATCTTGTATATTTTTTACTTCATGTTTGAGAACAATATGTTGTCTGCTAACCAATTTTTGAAAGTCTGGAAAAAATAAATACATTAAAATGTAATTAAAAATTTCTGATATATTTGTATTTTTTTAAAACTTTGAATGTATCTATATATAATATACATTTATACATTCAAAGTAGGTACAGTAAAACCTCTCTATAAAGGAATCGCTTGGGCTGACAAATTTTTCCGTTATAGGGAGACTAAAATATAAGTTATTCAAGGACGTTGTTATTTTCCTTTAGGGAGATTTCCGTCTTATGGGGTGTCCGTTTGACATGTAAAATTAAATCATTTATACAAAAATCTATAAAATAAATTTTGTAAATTTTTTTTTTACGTTTTATAAAGATAATAAATTATGGAATTTGTTAATACCTTTAAATTGATTTTCCTAATCAAGTTTTTTCCCTGACAATGTTTTAGATGTTGATGGGAGTTCATCAACTGGATCAAACTTAAGTCTTTTATTATTTGTATCAGACAATTGAGAACTAATTGGAGTTGAATAACTATCTGATTTACTTTCATAATTATTTGGTGGCGATAACGACACTTCAAATAATTTATTTTTCATTTTTGGGATCATCTCCATCAAATTCTGTAATTTAATTATTTATAATTAACAAATAATAAATATAATATTTCTACAGTTATATAACATTATAATAATACTTTATTTATTAATTTAGAACTTTTTTAAATTGTATACTCCAGATAGTGATTAGCCATAACATTTTTACTATTAATATATATTATAAGATGGATAAGGTTAAGGCTTGGGAAATGAAAAAAAAATTGCAGTTACACTTAGATTAAATATATTTTTTTTTTTTTTTGTCATAGTCATTGGTCATGGTTGGCTTGATGAAGAAGCTATTCATTATTAGCACTTCATGATGGGATGGAGATTATAAATATAAAATTTAAAATACTAGGTACTTTGTTTCACTTTCAATATCTGTATAAGACTATATATATTGAAACAATATAATATTTAATAATTATATATTATGAAATCTTTATAATGGATTTTTTTCTTACCATCACAACTCAAACTAAATAAAGGTAGACTTGGTGGTTTAGAATTGTTTAAATAACGTTTTTGCTGTGTGGATGTGTGATTTTTCTTTTCAATAATATTTTCATGGTCTGTCATAAGTCTGATGTTACTTGTGCTTTTCTAGCTTTTAATCGAGCTACTTCAATTTCAGCTAAAATGAAATTATAAAAAAATATTAATTAATGTAAATCCATAGAATTATTAAATTATACATAATTATATTACCTATACTTACCAATATCTTGACTCATTATACGAGCATTATAATAAATAAATGCATCTGGGTTTTCAGCCGGCTCTACTCTTTTTTCAATGTAGCTACGCACGTTAGCTCTTTTTTTTGGCCAAGCACAAACTCCTTTGTCCATCCAAAATTATGGAATGAAATCTACCGAGTCGTCAATTTCCAAGCAAACAACACTCCACATATTACTGAAATGAATTGCTTTATTACAACATAATAATATATAATCATACAAAAAACGGTACTTCCGGGTTATCTCGACTACCCAAATATTCCCAAGACTACCTGTTGGAATCATCCGGGTTATCTCAACTACCTCCGTAGACCGTAATTTATTAATGAATATATATTCCAGCTAATTATTAAAATCATCCGTCTTCAATCACTATACTGTCAATCATACATACAATTTTGTTGACCCAACCACAGGAGCACACACCCAAACAATTGAACGCCTTTGGGGATCGGCAAAGTGGCGAAACAAAAAACATAGGGGAACAGCTCGCCATCATCTAGATTCATACCTGACTGAATTTGTTTGGCGACAAGACCTTGGTAACGATCCACCGTTTAATAAGATTTTAATGGATATTAAAACCTGCTTTCCTCCTCAAAAAAATTATTACTACATTTTTTATTTATTTTTATATTATATTATATTATTAAAATTTTTATATTATATTATATTATTACAATTTTTTCTATACACATTTTTATGCCATTTTATCATGTTTCAAAATAGATTTATATTATTATTCAAAATAGATTTAACCTATATATTTTTATTATTTAAAAAATTGCGGTAGTCGAAATAACACGGTTGATCATATAATAGGTAGTCTTGGAAATATTTTGGTAGTCGAGATAACACGGTTGTGAACCTAAAGTAGTCGAGATAACACGGAAGTACCCAAAAAACATAGGTATGTTTGTATAGAAAGAGAGAGACAGGAAAACATATTCATACATAAATGTAGATATTTAAAATGTTATATTTAAAGTTATTTCTAGTTGCCTTTAATAAATGAGGTGGATCAAACATGTAAACAATTTCTTTGTCTCCAACATTAAAGTAAGGGGTCTGGGGGGTAATGCCTTGTTGATCTGCGAAGTGCTTAAAATTTGAGCCTAAATCAGAAATCATGACTACTACATTAAAAGAAATATTGGACAATATCTGAACAGTTTGAAAGATTATATTTTGCAGATCATATCCAGTACAAGTAGTAGCGACAAAAAAATAGCCTATAGGTTGTTTCCAAGAACTATACAAACCACTGATCATAATGACCATGACTGATTTAGTAACATCGCAAGACTTAATGAATCCTGTATTATGAAAACCTATTATTTCATCTTTTTTGAAATCAAAGTAAAGAAAAGATTTAAGCGACATTTCATCTACACACAAGATACATTCTTTGGACTTCACTGTCATGGAGTTTGCTTTCACTGCTAAAACTTTAAATAAAAAGTCATTCAAACCAGGATTAATTTCCCAATTTTCTGTAGTTCTTTGTAAAGTTCTAACAGAAGGCAAACTCCAGGATTTCCGTAGAAATCTATATACTTTAGGACCCATAAAATGTACCATGAGTGCAAATTGTTTTATTTCATAAGAATACCTATGTCCATGGGGATCTTGCAATGTTAGTTTGGACTGTATTTTAACAAAATTCGCAAAACCCTTATTCAGAAAATTGTCGCACATTAAATGAAAAAACTCTAATGTTGAAGACTTTTTTTCTAGGTCAGAACAATGTTTTTTTAGTGTAAGAAATTGTTTATGAAGATCATTAAATTTATTTTTTTGGATACTTAGCAGTTTGTTCAGTTTATCCTTTCTTGGTGTGTTACTTGACAGACACTGATGTGTTTGGGTTTGAGAATTAGAAGTGGCTGTGGAACTATTGCCTGAAGAATATGATAATGATCTCGACACAGAGCTGGCTACAAAAAAAAAATACAACGTTAATATAATTTGACTTGCTTATTATGTTATTATAGGTATAAATATAAGTAAATATTTACTTTTAGGAGTTGAACAAGATACGGCTGATATGTTTGACCAATTAATAGACGATATAGAATTACTATAAATGTCAATAGAATCAGCCATTATTCTTGAAGTACTACTAGTACTAGGGATGGATTCCTCGGGAATCATTTTTAAACTGCTGTTTTGTTGCAACTCTGCATCAGGCCAGTTGAATATAGAAGGCACTGCACTATTAATCAACCAACCATTATTGTTGAAATCTGTTTCAACGAAGTGCTCAGAACATAATTTATATGTTTTATTACAAATGGATGGACCCTTTTCCAAAAGATCCGGACGACGGCAGAAATTAACCCACTTATTAAATCTAAAGCATTATAAAATTATATATTACACAACATTGTTAGATTAATACATTATTAATATTTAACCAATTATATTAATATTTACCTTTCGTAATCCTTCGGAAATCTATGGAAAGTAATATTAATTGACAAGGGTCCATACTTATTAGTACATAATGTGCACTTAATAACCATTTTGCAAATTTTCGGAATAGCAAATTCAGCAAATTACAATAAAAAATTATGTACACTGACGGACACTGGTATTCGCACACGTGTAAAAGTAAAAGTAAACAGTGGAAACAATTTTTCTATGCTGGAAACAACCCGACCCCGCGCAGAATACCCTGCCTATTAAGCACGGCTATAGATAATTATCTATTTATCACGGACTAAGATATAGTCCGTGCTATTTATCTATAGCCGTGCTATTAAGTATTAACACGGTTTAAGACACGGACCACAGAATAGATGAAATTTCATCTATTTTGTGCACGGACTAAGATAGACTATCTTAAACCGTGTTCATGCCGCATGTATAGATAAGTAATGATAGTGTAATGATAAAATACAACAGATTAGTGTTATCATCATTCAATAAAAAATAAATAATATTTTGAAGTTTTGATTGTTTATGTTAAAATGTTTTGAACAATTTGAACAGCATACACAATTTTTAAACTGTATAGCTTCATTTCTATTATTTTTATATTTTTATACTTACATTTTAAATTTATTAATTATCATTATTGTATATTATTTACTATTAACTTGTTAGGTGTAAAACTAACATTGATTATTATTGTTAGTATTTATAATTGTAAGAACTACCGTCTGTCTATTAAGTCTACTAAGTCTACTAAAATACAGTCGTAGTACCTAACAACTATCTACTTACTATCTACTATTTACTATTTTATTTTAAGTAGGTATTGTTTAAAAAACATTAAATATGGAAAACACTATTACCGTAGATGATGTAGATACAGATTTTTTACCATTAATTCACGATATTATAAAAAGGTAAATTAACTCGTCAAATATTTGTTCAAAGTTATTAACTATTATCTATTCTGTTTTTAGTGGTGAAAGAGAAAATCACGAACCTCAGAAATCAGCCCAAGAAATATCACAAAAAATTCAAGATTTACAAAAAAAGATTGATCAAGCGCGAAGTGATGTAAGAGTATTTATTTAATTTTACAACATGTTTCTAACTACAATATATTTTGTTAAATCTAAAATGGACATTGCACAAAAATATATAAGTGCAACAGTAATAATTTAAAATTATCCCGAACTCGACTGAAATGTCCAAGCTCTGTTCATTATAATTGAATAAAAAACTTAAAGGCAAATAGGATAGAACTTATGAGATATAACCAGTGGTGTAGTAGAGGATACACGGCGTGTACCCGCCTAATTTTATATTTATGTGTATACCCTTAACAGAAATTTGCTTAATCTTAATCTTAAAACTAATATATGTTATTAGAAAAATGGCTTAAACTTTATTTTTATACAACATAAAGATATTTGTTTTTTTAATTGTTTAGATTCGAAAATTACCTGGAGTCCAATACAACAGTGAGCAACAGTTAAAAGCTATGGATGATCTCCGTCAATCTTTACAAATGAAAAGACAACTATTATTAAAATATAGACATATGTATTCATTTGATGTACCAAAGTATTAAGCTTAAATTTAACAATACAATGAATGTATTCATTTAATTCATTTTTTTTTTTAAGAATTATAAAGAATAATGTTTTTGAATACCTACACTTTTTATTTTTTTTAATAAGCAAAATTTGCTTTTTAATATTTAAATAAACATAACACTACAATATGATATAAAAATTATTGTGCCTCTTCAAAATCAGTGGGTGGGTCCCCTATTCGAGATGGTAGGATGCGTAAAATTGTAGATCAGTGAGGTTGAGATAATAAACTAATGACAAATAAAAATGTATATACAATATATATATATTTTATCGTATATACAATCTATAAAATTGTAGGTTATAATTTATAATGTACTAGGTACTTCTAAGGTCTAGCCATGGCCTATTATATAACTAACAAACTGTGAGTTATGTTATGCTTCTTAGGGCCATTCTTACAATGTCCGGTAAAGTGTTGGTTAACGCTAACCGACTGATAACAGATTTTATTACCAGCAGAATTCGGCCGCTTAAGTGTCGGTTAACTTTAACCGGACATTGTAAGAACGGCCCTTAGTCTTAGCCAATTTAGGTATAGGTTAGTGTAGTACTAAATACTGCCTGTATTTACTATTTAGTAGGTACTATTACATAGGTCACCATGGACCTATTTAGTCTACATTCAGCACATTCTACGGCTCAACATTTTTGGAAGCAGAGACATTATTTGGAGGAAAATCACGGGGTAGCATTGTAGCAATAATCTTGAATAATATTTTTAGTTTAATTACATGGAACCTGGGAGTAGTTGGTGGATGAAATAATAAAATTGGTGGATTGGCAAAAATGCTATTTGCTACCTCATAATGATGCCTGTTTTGCATGGTGCATAATGTTGCCATTTTTATTATATTTAACCACGGCCCACGGGTTTTATACAATTCTACTGAGTACTGAGTATTAAAACAAGTAACAAAAAAAATTATTGTAGACCTTACACTACTCTATACTATATAGTACAAACTATGATATTAAGGTCTATGCCCTGTGGCAGGGGTCATAGGCGCAACTAGACCAATATTTTTAGGGGTACACAAATTATAAAGATTTCCTGTGTAATTTCCCCTTAACACTATATGTCTATATATCTATTAATTAACAATATTTTCAAATTTGCTATCTATATTTTGAATATTTTTGTGAAACAATAACAGTAAATACTAAACTGTGACTACTATATAATTTTTCGGCCAATAAATTGTATTATTTTATTTTGATTACTGCTAGTTCAGACTTCTGGAAAACGTGGTCCATTTATCCTATCTCAATGATGCAATTACAATTATTAGTTTAGTTAACTAAACCGTTAAACCGTGAAACTACCGTTTCAGACTTCAGTACCTAATTACGAATTACGTTGTTTATCCTCTTATTCAATTTATCGTAAATATTAAATATTTTTGAGATTTTTTAAATTTTTGTTAATGTATATTATTATAAAATGGCATTTTAAAGAAAAGTTAGACTACACATACCTACTTACGGATGTCACAGGATAAATTATTATTTCAAGTATTTTCAACTGTAATTTGAAAAATATTATCTTTTCTAAAATTATAATATTTTATTCCTTAGTGATGATTTGCTTTTCTGTAGTGAGCTCAGCTTCCCTACATTTGTGCGGGGCCCTGTGCAGGGGCACCGGTTGCACCGGCCCTGGTGGTGGCAGTCTTTGTGGAGAGCTGTACTTACTTGGTATTAATTATTGTTGTATCGTGTGTAGGCCACAAAGACAATATTATAAACACACGTACACAAACAAGTTATTCATATTTATTATTATAATAAATAATAAATATGCTGCCTAGTTATTCAATTTCTTGTTATTACCGTTTTAATTTTGTTCAAAATACATTTGTATAATATTATAATACAGCAGTTTTTACTTTCGTTAATAATATTTATATTTTTCCGATTACTGTTATAATTTTTATTTTCTAAAAGTTTTCCTATATTCTTTTTGACTTATTTAAGTTTATTTTCGTTCGTAAAGTATCTATAAGTTCTTTTCATATAGACGTATAATATACGTATATGGTTCATTTAAGTTTCAACATAAAACAATTGCACTTTTTAGATTCATAGACACAAGCACATCTACAGTGAATGCAATTATTATGTCTCAGGCCACAGATGTGAAGACTGAAATATTTTTATGCACCTACAATATTTGAATGTTTCAACACCCGTCAAGCTTTATAAAAAAGTTATGAAGTCCAAGTGAAATAAGGAATTATCTCGGTAATTATCTCGGAATTGTCTCTGTCGGCTTCCACTCAACACAAAACTTTTAATTAACACACAAATTATTCACCCATCAATTACCTACGGTATTCAGCTTTGGGGTACGGTAAAAATATCAAATATGAAAATTTTCCAATCATTTCAGTTAATTGCCTTTGCCTCAACAATCTCTCCCTCCACTCTGGCCTCAAAATTCCAACCATTCATACACTTGCCGCCCACTATTATAAATCATTCCACAAAAACACTTTCAATCACTTAAATCCTCTAATTTCAAACCTCTCCTCTCTTACTCTTCCTAATAACCCATCTCACTGTCTCAAACGAAATTGCCTAGGGACCTCCTTAACACTGAATAAAAAAAAAAACCCTTAATTTTTAAAAAAAATTTTATAATTTTGAAGTAGGGTCATTGGACCGGGGGGGGGGGGGCTTCTATCATTCCATCTCGTCTTGTTTACTTGTTGTATAAATTATTACAGATTGTATATATTCTTGTTTTCTAATAAAAAAAAAAGTCTTGGTCGGCGCATAAGTAAAGTAAACTATAAATTCATAAATCAAGTAAGATGTTTTATGTATTAAGTACCTATTTTGTAAAATGTATTTATTTAATATTGTCGTCCCATGACATTTAAAATAGGTTGAATAAAGAGGTCCAATAGAATTGTGAGTGGTAGGAGACTTAGAACTAGGACTTTGGTAATCTGTAAATAATAATAAATAAACTATAATATAATATATAAAATATAATAATAGTAACGATAATATACCTAGTTATAGTTATAATATATTAGGACAGCGTTGAATTTTAAATAAGGATCGGAGGATATCATCCTAATAATTTAAAACTTCTGTATTTTTACTCCTCTTATGGACTTATAACTCTATGTGGCAAATATAAATCCCACGGCGCCAGCAGCGAGCAGCCTAACTTGCTTTTCCAGGAGCTGAAACACACTAAAATTTTACTAAAATAGTAAGCCGAAAATGTGCGAATGCCGTATGCGACAAAATTAAAAATTTCAAATTAAAACATATTCAACGTTAAATTCGATATTTATTTATTTATATTAAAATATGTGTTATCGAAGTATAAACATCAGTACACCTCAATTAAAAAAAACACGCCACGTGTAAATGTGTAATACCTCATGCTTATAAACAACATGGACGATGTGAATATGTGATATAATGTCGTTTAACAAGCATAGGCGGTGTGGAAACTTACGCGATGCTGAAATCATCCTATAAAAAGAGTGCATTAAAGTAATATGTAATGGAAAAATTCTTTAATTTTTTGGGGGTGCACATTTTAAACTGGGAGTTGCACAAGTCCCTTCAGTGGCTCCATAGAATATTAGATTTGAACCAAGGTTTTCTCAGAGTGCCCTTTCCCAAGTCAAATCATGACTAATCATAAAAATTAGATAAAAACCAGTACCTAAATAAATTGTGAATTTGAAAATATTTATTTATTTAAGTTATACATTTTTAAAAACCAAAATAATGTAACTACTAGACAAGGGATACAGCATTAATATGGGATCCTTGGCTTTTGAAAAAGTCAATGAGTTTCGATACCTAGGAGCAGTACTGAGTACAAACTACAAAAAATGACTGGGAAGATGGGTTTAAGGATAATTAAAATTGAAAGAGCATCATTTGCGCTAAGTAAATTCATGAAATCCAAAGTATTTTCCAAAAAGACCAAAGCAAGGCTTTACACGACAATAATAAGGCTTACGCTCACAATGCTCACATAGGTATGTCATATGGGTGCGAGGCATGGACTACCGTCTACCACTATGGTATTACTGAAAGAAAACTTAGGACCTTTGAGAACCAAATTTGGAGGGTAATATGTGGACCGGTTCAATATGATGAAGAAGGTTCGATGATAACATAGAAATGATAAGAAAGAGACGGCCATCTATTTTTTTATAGTAGTTGTTCTATGGTTGGTCCATAGAGTATAGGTTGGTCCATGGTTCACAAAATGTATTCTTATCACTAAAATTTGATTAAACAAGATTATTATTATTCAAGAACCCATTCATTTAAATATAAATTTAAAATGGTTTAATTTGTTTTTTTTTTGGTAAAGAGTGATGAACGACTTGAACAAAGACGTTAAAGTTGTATCAAAAATCAAAATTCAAAGTATATCATTCACGGTTTTTTGTAAAATTGTTTAGACCGTGTAAATGAGATTTTTTAATTCTACTTTATTTCCTACAAAAATAATAAAAATTATGCCTAAAAAAAATACAAAACAGGTTCCAGGAAAATTAGAGGCTGTTCAGACTGGACCTATAACAATAGACAAATCGGGTGATGTTGTTATTAAAATAAACGCCAAACCTGGTGCCAAAAATAATAACATAACAGGTACTTCATGCATTTACTACAATATTAACAAATTTATATTGCCCTTAGAGCAAAAATAATTACTACAGAAAATTATTTTGATTTTACCTATTATTTTTTAACAAAATAATGGTCATTTTGCTCTATTGGTACAAAACAATTTAGCATCTAATGGTAAACTCAAAACAAATACTAAAAGCTTCTAACTAATAAGTGGGTGAAACTATGAATACATTTGAAATGCTAAAATATTGTATGTTATTACAGTTTTTAATTTGTATTGTTTTTTATAAAGATATAAGTTCTGATGGCATTGGTGTTCAGATAAATGCACCTCCGACTGATGGTGAAGCTAATGCAGAATTAATAAAATATCTTTCGAAGGTATTGGGTTTGAGAAAAAGCGATTTAAGTTTAGATCGAGTAAGTTCATTTCTTTTGTTTAATTCTTTGAACCTTTGCTTATGTAAATGGTAGGTACCCATATAGCTATAGTAGGTAAAAGGACTATTCTACTTTTCAGTTAAGTAGGACATTTCCCCTCATATTTTTTAAAAACTTGACAATGAAATTAATTTTTTTCTGTCTAATGTCTTATTAGATACTAAGCGTTAATGTCTAATAAAATAAAACATTAAATGTCCAAATATAATTATAAATCAAAATGTATATTTTAATGTCTATTGATAGTATTATAATAATAAAAAATATTTTTTTCATTGTCTATTTGATACAATAAAAAGCACTATTGGGTAAAATGCTTGCATTAAAAAATTTGCTACCTATACGGGGGAATTGTTCTACATTAATAGATATTAATTTTTTTCATTTTAGCAGAAGCAAAATGAACTATTAAATGTTGAAGCAAATTAATATTACCACTAATACACCATAGGATTATAGATAAATACTTTTACAGTAATAATTATAATTTATATATTACAGTAGTCGCCGCTTATTGGACTCACTTTGGGACCCGAAAATTTGAGTCGATTAACCGAATGAGTCAATAAGGCGAATGACTCAAAGTATTCGTTTAGTATGTGACCTACAGAGTGAAAATCGAGTTTAGTATGTGACCTACCAAGACGATTATCTATATTATGTACGGGTACTGATCTATTAACAGGTAAGATGAATTTTTGAAATTTAAGTAAAATACAAAAAGTGTATTTCTAAAAATATAATTTAAATAAAATAAAACTTTTTTATAACAACATAATTTTATGAAATCTATTGAATAGTTTTGACATACCTATTGCTGTTATAGGTACCTATGTGTCTTCATTCATTTTGTTTAACTCATTTTGACATTGTTAAATGTAATCCTGTATTATTTTATATTTGTATATTGTATTACTAATATATTAGTTAAATAATTATTAACATAATTTTATGATTTTTAATTTAATTAATTTAACTGTTTTTAAATTAATTAATGGTCCTGTGGATCATATACTAAATGAATACCCAATACGGTAGGTCACGCGGTCTGGTAGGTCACATACTAAACGAATACCAAAATTTTAAAACTTAAAAACTTAAAAATATGTATTGAGATTCAAGGTATGTATGTATAAAAATAAAAATCTAGCTATACGCAATTAAAAAAATGACCCTATTAACCAGTGTGTGAGTCAAATAGACAAATTTTTTGCTGTGTTAGTATATGTGCAAATCGGGACCAGCCATTTTGAGTCTAATAGGCGAATGAGTCAATTAACCGTGAGTCCAATAAGCGGCGACCACTATATATATATAAACAATGGCTCACCTCTAAATAAAAATTGCAATAGTTAAAACAATTTTAACATTATTATTAATTATTCAAAATTTTTAAATTCTAGGGTTCAAGATCGAGAAATAAAATTTTAATTGTACACAATACTTCATTAGGCGTAGAAGGGATCACTGAAAAAATTAATGAAGAAATTAACGATAAATAATAAAATATGATTGACTTAAAATGGATGTTAAAATAAGTAAGTATTGTTAGTAAATTCATTAGTATAGATTATGTTCGAATCCTTTACTACTATTAGCCTTTATTTTTCAGAATATATAATTTAAAAGGCACAAGGTGGCTGACTGGTATACATGTATTATTATCACAATTATGTATAATATCTATATTGAATGTCTAATGGACCAAGTAATATTTATAGCTTTTATGCATATTTAATATTTATATGTATTGAATGACTGACCACATAATTGTTATTTTAGAATTTTTATATGGAATGCAATCATTTGTCGTATTGTTATCCGTCTTAACTGAAACCAACCAGAACATACATAACAGACAAAATTGTTTTTAAATGTACTCATTACGTATATAAGTATGCAATACTTCATCTCAGTTATCCCACAAATTATACTATCAGTTATTGAATTACTTAAAATTAAATATTGTATTATTATAGAAATTATAATTTAATATAATACTCCCCAGTCAAGTGCCACTAATGGGTGCCTTCTTATTCCTATTTTCATGTATTTTTGTTCTGTCACCACATACACTGATTGTGCTAAATAGTAAAGATTGTGCATATCTTAATAAGAAAAATAGTATATATAATATATATGTTTATTTTATTTCTTTGGTCTAGCTATCTATAAATTAATATTATTTTCATGTAGGTAATATATTTCTATATTCATTTAATTTAATTATTCTTGGCATAGATGAGCGGAAGTCATGCGAAGATGATGAATGTCTTGATGTTACAATTATGTACCTATTGTTTTTTGTTGTGTGACCATGTATTGGAGCAATAAAAGTGCTTCAATTTTCTAATTCAATATTATTTTTGGTATCAAGTTGAATCTACTTGCTATTATGGGGAATGGGGGTCCAAATGAGTAAAAAATATCTAGTACTTTTCTACTTTTCTTAACAATTGAGAAAAAAATTAATTAAGAAAAATGGGAATTTTTACTCAAAATCAATTTTGTTAAATTTGTTGTAATTCAAAAACAAATTCTTAAATAGGTACTTCAAATGTATAGACATTTTAAATTTTTGATTTTTTTCCTACTTGTGAACCCTTTTTCATTTGCCATTATTTATCACCAAATTGAAACATTCATTTAGTACCTGAAAGTGAACATATTATATTTATACTATACAGCGGAGTGAGTTCACCGGATTTTATTTTGTTAATTTGAAAAAGTGTTGAGATATTCATCGTAACTAATAATAACTTGTTAAAAATTGTTTACAACCATACAAATAAATTGGAGCTAATTCATTTAATACATTTTACGGCATGTCGGCATCCAATATTTTTAGTTTGACTTCCATTTTTGGCTTTTAAAAATAATGTTTCTTGGATTCCTTTCTTGGTTGATACTTAATAAGAGTTTTTATGGCCTTAAATATATTAATGTACATTATTAAATATATCAACAATAACTTAAGTAACATAGACACATATAATTATTTTTACATTAAATATGCAATATTTAAATAAAATACAATTGTTACTTTATATTTTGCTGTAAATAAATGTACTTTAAATTTGAATATACTTTTAGGCATATAAAAGTGTGTTTTATATTATATTTTATATAAATTATATATTCAATGTTGTATATTTGTGTTATAATTTCAAATCTAAAAATATCTGATTACTTTTTAAATATAAAAATAAATAAATAACATATAAAATAAGTGTAGGTATAAACTTAAGAAAAAAAAATAGATAACATGAAGGTAACATAATATAGGTGCATGTGGTTAAGCCAGGTAACTTTGGTAACCGCAACATGTCTTATTTATGTATATTTTGTTTACAATATAGGTATAATAATTTATCAGTTAATAACAGTTAAAATGCCAAATAGGAATAACAATATAATTATTGGTTTAAAATTGTTAAACCAACTTTAGTAGGTAAGTAATTCAGGAACTGGAACCTTTTATATTATAATTTGATTTGCAGATCTGCTCCGATTTCGGATTGGTTATTTTCGCTTCGTTTGCTTTTAATACTGACAATAGACATATTAAAAGTTTGAATTAGTTTTAGTTGAAGGAAGTGGATCGGTTTAGGGCCCAACTCATAGGCGCAATGAAGAGGGCTTAGCACCCCAGTTTTATCAGTAACCCCCCCTCCAGTTTTTTAATCATATTTTAGTTTAAAATATAAATTGTAAGAGTCTGTGCTGCTGATCCAGTTCTAGCCCTCCCCCCCCCCCAAAAAAAAAAAAAAATCTTAGTTGTGCCTATAAGGTCTATACCTAGCCCAACTGTCTTGTGGGTGCTGGTTAAAGTGTAGGTTCAATCTGTATTGGATCCATATTATATGACGTATAAATCTGTAAGGAACCGGCTAATTTCGGTTCAGTTCCGGTTACCGCTCTAGAAATGGTGGTCATCTATGTAGCTATGAAATTGTTGAAAAAGCAATAATAACTATGGGTACGGGTAATAATAAAATCTATTTGCTCAAATAATCGACACCGTCGGTCGGGTCCACGGATAGTAGTGGTGCCGCGAACCTACACCGTTTCCCGATGGCAATTTGAGCTGTTGGTCATAGTGCGGAGTCGATTGGATCCTCTGCTGTACCGGGTAAGGCGGCGCCGGTATCTGTTTTGGCAGCTCACTAGACGTCACCGACAATTCGGCCAAACTCCAATGGCGGGCGGTCGATGCCGTGGTCGGTGTCCCGGACAGACATTGGCACACGGCCAACAGCGCCAACCAAAAGAACACGGACGTGTGTAGTCCACCGCGGTCTGAAGGAGTAACCAACGCCATCATTTTAACGACATTCTGAAGAACAAAATAATAAAGCCGTATATTATTAGTTATCACTTCTTACACAAATTAGGTATGTACCTTTAATAATGCGTCTAATGTATAAAGCTAGGTACCTAGGTATTGTTAAGCTACATATAGGTATTTGTATTATGTATACACGCTCTTAAATCTATAATATAAGTTAAAGTGTAGGTACTAAAAAATAATACCTTCCTAGCTATTCCTCACTACCAGACGCTACTTATACAGTTACACTGATTATACATTTATACGCCCATGAAAAATACATAACTACATAACTCACATAACTGTACCTATATTTATAAAATGTACATTATTATCCCTTAAACGTCAATTGGCCCAGAATCTAAATTTTTTATATTGCCTAGTGGCTAGTATAGTTATCCTTTATACTATTATGATACTATGCTATGTCTATATAGACTGCACTAGCTAGAAACAGATACATGCATAGGCGTAAATAGTGTTTGAAATTTGGGGGGGGGCTGTAGTTCGCAGGTTTATACTTGATATTCTTATGATGCTTTTAAATAATAGTAGTGAAATCATTAATTTTTTTTTTGGAGGGGGCTAAGCCCCCATATTTGTGCCTATGGATCATGTAGGAACTTAGTCAAAGATGTTACTTTTTTAAAGTTTCAATTGTTATATGGTGGTCCACATAGGTATAGGAACAAAAAGATTGAGGCTTAAGGGCTATTGCGTACACTCTCTCACCTAGTTCCAGTTTACTAGATTATGGCTTGAAGTACCTACCTACTAAATTTTAAATTCGTTCGATTTAAATTCTAACAGTTTTAGTAAATCTATTAAAAAGAAAATATAGACTTTAGATTATTGCGTAATTTGATTATTTTGAAATATTCAACAGCCTATACATTTGAACTCCGCTTATCAAATTTGTAATCTTAAACTTTATAATATGCCTTACAAAGCAAAACAATTTTACCTAAGTTTTTTTTTTTAATTATGTTATACTATTAGGTATTTGAAACAAAATAAGAAATTGGAGCTATAATGACCATTCGGTTTTGCCCAAAGACATGAGGTAAAACTTTAACAATGTTAATCACAATATATTAATATATTAATATCAATATAGGTAGGTAGTAGGTACATAGTATAAGATGGGTAGGTATATCTAATAGGTACCTACCTATTTTACTGTATTCATCCATCTGTATATTTAAAATATCAAAAACCGTTTGTCATTAATTTCTAATATAAAATAACAACTTCTATCTATATAGCTGTATCTCACTTTTTTGTATTATTAATTAGGTATATCATAAAGTGTGAAATTGGTGACCGACGACCGTGCAACATCAAATTATGTATGAATAGGTACCTATCCTAAACATAACATTTTAAAACTTGACTATGATGTTAGAAAATGAATGAAAAAATATTAACGGATATTAGACAAATTTTTGCAGATGAAATTATTTTATTTACAACTATTTTTCATACCTTCTTAACTTTTTAATGAACTTACAGTTTTCCACCCAATACGAGGGGATACTTGGGCTATCTTTTTAACGTTATTTTCTATTATAATATTTGGCTAAACAAAAAGACAATTTAATTTTTGAAAATGTCTGCCCCCCCTTGTATGACTTCTGGATCCGCTACTGCCCAAGATTCCGCTGATGACCTAACCTAGGTACCTACTTATAGGCTATAACAACGAGTGTCACTTTACACCAATTATACCCTTATAGTGATGTCATAATGTCATAACAATCCCATTAGATAACATAATATAGGTATTTATAGGTACCTACTGACAACCTTCTACAATAGATAGGTCATAGCCCATATGTACCTAGACACTGAAAAAAAGAAGTATGTGTGATCTATTATAGCCGTCATCGCGATTACTGAATTATATCAGTATATCACATATTCTAGACATCTACTCATTATAGTTACCAGCTACTATATGTTATAACTAGGGCTGGGAATGTAATGCCCTATAAAACCCTAAAAAATACCCTTAAAAAATGCTTTAATGCCCTAAAAATTCAAAATAATGCACTAAAAAATGCAGGTAAATTGTTATTAGATTAATAAATTGTAAAATATGAGTGATAAAAAAAAGTGATTAAAATAATTTTTATATAGGCTAAACTTCAACTTGGATTTCTTTTAATCTGAAAAATCAATTTTATTATTTCTTTATATTATTTTAACTATATTGATAGATTAGCATTATCTATTCAATTAAGTATTAACTGTACACTCTGAACAGTCTGAACTGTTACATTGAATCAACAAAGATTGTTTAAGATTTTTGAATAAAAAACATCGTCTGTTATCCCCCAGTAAATTTTTGTAGAAAGAGAAGCTCCTTTCAACGTCTGCCGAAGTAATGGGTGAATATTTAAAGAACGCCAAATCATTTTCTGTTATATTCATATATATATAAATTTATATAAAACTCGCGTTAGCTTGTAAAATCTTAAAATAAAATTTCAAGTTTGAATTTTGGATCCAAGAACTCCAATAATATCCTAAAAATTAAGAAAATTATCAAAAATTGCAAAATAAATTTTCTTATTCTCATTCAAAAGTACATGTTACGGATTTGTGACCAAGCGAGCATCGTACAGCAACCTCTGGAAATAAAATGAAAAGTGCATCGAAATCCCGACCCTAGTAATAACTAATGAGTTATATGCGAGTTGTGAGTTTACTAGGTACTTTTAAAATGATTGTCCCAGCAACATCAGTAAGTTCTACAGACGTTCTAAAACTGGAGATAAATAATGAATTTAATTTTAAAAAAATTATTAAAGAAAATGAAGCTCATTTAATTTTTTATTGGTACCTAATTACCTATTGTGAAATTACATTTGATAAAATAATAATCTAAACAATTGTATCATTGTACCAATATTAAATAGTTTCAAACAGTTGAAGTAATGCTTCATAACTACCTACCAATTGAGAATAACATACTTAGTTTATTAAAAATACTCTTTAAATTAAGAGAACAATAGGAAAAAAATTGGTCGATAAACTTATTAGATATTTTAATATGAATAAAAAATAAAATAATAATTCTGTATTGTTACTTAAATTTATTGTGTTTTTGTTGAAACGAAAAGAAAGTTTTTGGAACCCAATTTGATTAGTCACATTAAGGACTATATATAGTATATACAGTCCCCATTTGTGTATATATATAATATATTATATAGTGCCCTCCTAGGTATTATAAAATAATTTCGGAGTGAAAAAAAAAATAAAAACACCGTCACTTTCGTTTTAATTTGGTCCTCACACGTACAATTGGTGAAAACGAATCAATAATTTGGTGTAAACTCAACGAAAGACGTCCGAATTTCCCTTTCATGAGTCGAATGCTAAACATAATTGACAATACCTATAATATAAAATAGGAACGATTCAACGATGACAGTATCACACATTCATCATATTACATATACAGCAGTCACCCACACAAACGTAATACTATTTTCATATAGATACATCTATATATATATAATATTATAAATACATATAACATAGGCAGGTATAAACAATAATACGTGTTGTATTTGTAAGCAGCTTAGCAGCGTATTGTCCTGCATTGTCCACGTACGTCCGTAGTCCGCACACAGTGACAAGATTTCGATTTCGATTTTGAACGATTTTATCTATATGCGAATTTATGAATATATATTATATATATGTATGTGTTATGTGTACCTACGCGCTTGTATGTTTACACTCACGTTTATATATTACGCCTGAGTAGAATTTAAATAGCAAAAGTGTCTGTATATAGAAAAGGTTAGAGAAATTAAAATCAAAATAAGTTTCACGAAAATAGACTGTTATACTGTTCCTACTGCAGCAGAGCCGAGTCGCAGTATAATAGTTTAAACTGTAATTAGTTTAAAGGAATTTAAAATTTCACAACCGATTTTCTGCGATTTACTAATGTACCACAACGAATTTTCGACGACAACTTCATAGAAAATTATCCTGGTGAACGGATCAGATGACTTGTAGCGGTTCAGCGGTCCAGAACCTCTGAGTCCAAGTGCAAACTATATTATATACCTAGGTATCGAATCATAATATATTATTATTATAAAGAGCTCTTCCGTCCGATGAAATTGAGCCACCGCATGAAATCGAAACGACCGACGCTGCAGGTGTCGTCGAATGATTAAAATATCTATCGTTGGAAAACAACCACTCAATATAAGGTATATTATATATAATTGATGGTTCCTACTAAAAGGTTAACCGACGCATAGGTATATTATATTATTCACAAGTGTAATCTGAAGACTGAAATCATCTGCAGTGTTTGCTTTTTATTTTTAGACCATAGGTTAACATAATATACTTCTTGACTTTGAAATGTTGAACAGAACAATACTACTATATAATTATACATTTATACTAGGTATGTAGGTAATATAGTATATTAGTATATACTATTACAATGTATTATATGTTATTTATATTTAAGTTATACACAAAAATAAACGATGCGTCATATTTTACTCATAATAGAAGCACCTAAAAATTAAAATATTAAAATAGGTAGGGATCAATATTTATTTAGCAGTAGGGTAATAAATTATTTTGATAAATTTAAAGGTATGACCTACGTATTATCATAAATATAGACAGTGACAAATATATTATTATTATACCTAACTTATTTTAATATTGCCCTTTTGTATCAAACTGTCACTGTGTACGATTATTCATTTTCTTCATAATATAGTAAGTTGTACCTATAGTCGACAACTCGCAGGGTGCAACAAGAAGACCTGACAAATTACATAACTTTTGTTCTAATCAATATTTAAAATTTTTTTTTACAGTTACTTTATATTCGCTGTCACTAAAATTATTTTTATTTTTCAATACTGGAAATAAAAAATTTTAAATTTGATTTAAATTTTTTTGGAATAATTCAAAATAGCCAATTTGTAAATCTGGTTATGAGAGCAATTTTTATGGTATAAACATTTAACTAAGTCAACTAGTTAGTTTATTTTTAGATTTTTTTTTACATATCAATATGTTTTTGAGTAAATAAATTTAGAACGTAAGTAATAACTTTTTTCAAAATATTATTTTTGGGAATATCTTGAAATGAGTAAATTTTTTAAATTATTTATTAACCTTATAATTTTCACAATTTTTGTCTTACGTTTAAGTAGCATAATTTTTTTTCAGGTCCTGTTACACTTTATATGATACGTTTGTACTTTACATTAATACTGTTAACTGTTAACATTTTATTTTTGTAAGTTTAGTACAACTGCTTAGTTATTTAATTATACAATTTTGTTCATATACTTTCCTTATAATTTTAAAACTTAACATAAATGTATACAAATTTTATTGTGCATTTTGAACTCGTGGGGGGGGGATATTAGATAGGTTACTATCTTTTTAAATAAATAAATGAATATAATTTAATTAAGTAATTTGTTGAATTAAAATGGTAGCCACTAATTATCCATAAATATTATATTATATACCTACTTTTCTTTATAATCCAAACTTCTACAATAATTATTTAAAAGTTATTTATTGTTACTATAATATCTATCTGACATCTGCGGTATCATTAATTAATATATGTGCTTCCATAATACTATAATAGCGTACCTAGGCTAGGTTAGGTTAAGGTACCTAACCTTAGGTACACTATCTATATTTTTCCTAACATTACGGAAATATCACTTGTAAATACCTATAGGTCCGTTCAGAATCTATTAACGTATAAATTAGATAAAATATAATAAATATGATATATTATATGGGCACAGATTATACCAAATAATATTATAAAATCTGTAATAATAATAATATTATATAACCTGTGATATAGGTAACTATTAATTGAGGCAACCCATGTATCAAAGAATTAGCGGACGTATTTATTTTTTATTTAGTCAGGGCGTTTATAATATTGGTCAAGGTTATGTGTAATTAAAATATCGGTGTATTGGATACTTTTGGATCTATATTGTTCGTGAGCCGTATACAACTAACTATACAATATATAAACGGGATAAAATTAAATATATAGTACATAGTGTTGTAGTATTATAAATGTACTATAATACTATAATAAATACGGAAAATATTCGTACACATTTTGTCATTTTATCACAAATAATAATATTAAACTATTTTTAGGATTTTATCATTGTAGTTTTGAAGATATGTCATAATAATACATCTATATATTAATGGTAAATCATTTTTTGTTAATTTCATTTTAATAATAAAAAAAAGCTCTGGATAATAAAATGATACACTAGTAGGTATCAGTCTAGTAATCTTCACAGCCTGCAGCCTCACAGGGGTATACATGAGGATCCTTGATCCCCTTTTGTTCTTTTTTTTATGCCATTATAAATAGAATAAAAACGCTTTTTGTAATTCGTAGGTAATAAGTAGGCATTTTTCCACAGATCTAAACCCCCTCCCCCGGCCCCCGCCCAAAAACTAATGTATACGCCACTTTTCAACTTGTACTAATTCACAATATTTACATTCATAATATTATATTTATATCCTTTTACAGTTTTACCTATGTACATAATAAATAATTAATAATATATAGGGCCTATAGGGGTAGTCCATATATCAAGTCTATGGGTTATCGACATGACCACGCTGTATATTTTGTGCATAATATTGTTTAAAAAATATAATATTTGTTAGTTGTTATATTTGGTAGGTAACTAGTAAGTAGGTACCTACTAGATGAAAATAATTCTTTATAGTTATTTTTCATTATAACTTGATAACACGAACAACTAACGTACCTACCTAATGATTATTATAATTCATTTTCAATAATAGGAATATTTTTTTTTTAATATACCTACCACATTGATATTATTATTCAAACGAAAGTCTGAAATTTCATTAGGTAGGTACGTATGTAAATTATAAGTATAAATAAACAAATATAACCTAACCTAGAATATACTATATTGTACAATTTGGCAATTATAGAACTTTATGATGAAAAAAGTTAAATGTTCAGATGTTCTCTGGAGATACATAGATAGACATATGTATACCTATAGGTAATGCGTTAGGTTAATGCAGATAGCGGTCGTCTACCTTGACCAACTAGGTAGCTGATATAAATACAATACCTACGAACAAAACATTAATATTTTTTTTATTATTATTGAAAAATATTTACTGACTTCAATAACTAAGGTTATTAGCCAATAATAATTTGTGTGTTACGTCATAATATTAATATAAAAACAGTGTCCGATTTATCCGGAGAAAGTTATTATCTCGAATTGTAACATTGAAAAATATTTATAAAATTATGATATTTCTACCAAAAATATTTTTTTTTCAAACCAAACCCGTTGATTATTGAACTTAAAGTGACAATATGTGAATGGTACAAGCATAAATGCGTACTCGCGAACTTATAATGTGATATTGCTACCTATACGACTTTAGGTACCTGGTACTTGATTAAAAACCATCACAAATCTACGAGACCTGCTTCAAATGGTTATAGTAAAGCTATTATATTTATTATAGTAAATTGCATTTTTATCCAACATACCTGTATAACTACCAACAATTTAAAATTATTTGCATAGCCAAATAATATATTTACTATAGTCTATAGATATTTGATAATAATTTTAAAATCAGAAGAAGCTTTATTGTGATTTATAAGGTTATTTGTACAATATTAAAATAATTAATAAATTTAGGTTATTAATAGTTATTATATAAGTACTTATTTCGGTTTTTATAGTTTTGTATTGATATTTGAACAATTTTCACTATCTTACAATATTGCAGTTACTTTAAAATATTAACGATTTTCAAAGACTTTTACTTGTCGAAAATGTATAGCTGGTACCTACATGGTTCAATAAAATCTGAAAATGCAATATTGCACGTTTCTTTAAATAAATTTAATTACGAAAATGAAAGTGAAAGATATATAAAGGAATTAACTAAAAATAATTTATCTTACCTACTTGTTATATTTAAAAAGTTTTTAACATTAACATCCATAAAAGGTAAGTTAAAATATAAAATGTACAATGCATAATGTATATAGGTACCTACCCAAGTTATTATGATCATAGTTCTTGTATAATGGGTCATGGTTTTTATTATTTGTACATACTACATGTCTACATAGTACATATAAACAAGTTAACTACACGCATGTAATAAAAAAAATTAATTTACTTGTTGCACGATTATTTAAACACAAAATCCTAAAATTTTGAATACTTAGAAAGTTCTTTATTATCTAGTTTTTAAAAATAAAAATAAAAATAAAATCTTAATTTGCATATTAATCAGATTATTATATTTTTATTTTTATATATCTACAATGTACAGCACTACAGCTGGTATTCAATATTTCAATTTAATTTTTTTAGGACTAATAATAATAAAAACTATTTAAAAAGTCAAGTTAAATACTTATAAAGTTAATAAATTGAAATCAATAGGTAAAACCTTTCACCTAACATAATATTATGTAAGTACTTAAGTTTGTGTATATATACAATATACCTAATAAATAACAAAAAAGGATGAACTAGGGTAGGGCATTAATTACCTTAATAAGAATTAAGATTATTTATTAAAATTAAATTTACTTTACTTTATGAAAACTACAGTGACATTTACATAATATAATATTGTTTGTATTGTATATAAACTTGAAAATATATATACTACCTACATAGGTAGAGGTACAGCCAGAAACGAAGTACACAATAAGTAAACAGTAAAAACTAATTCTTTTGCATTTTTTTTTTAATTTTTAGGTACATAAAACTATAACATTTTATATTTCTTTTAATTGTTTATCCTTATATTTGTCTATGAAACTACTGATTAGGTAGGTATTTACTTACAATTTTTAACTATCATCCTATATTTTAAATAAATTTGCTAACTTGAAATTTGTGTGTTGCAACAATTTATTTACCTGACCTTAATATACTAATCATCTATTATCCAATAAATAACTTAATAATAGGTTAAAACTTAAAATAAAATAAAAACACATGCATAATAGTTCCGTCATTATTAAAGTGTCTACACTTATTATTAAATGTACTGATTAGTAATTAGGTTGGTGGCTGCAGATACTGAAGTTGTAATAAGTAAAAATTATTGCCAGATTAATGTAATGTACTTACCCACCTACTTAATACTTATGTGTACCTGGTACGGTAACGTCTTACAATTTAAATAATTTAAATAATATAGGTAATATGTATTATGGTTATAGGTACGTACCTGTAGATACTTCACAAAATAACAAAACATTTAAATATTGACATTTAGGAACTACAATTATTAACACGTTCCACAATATACTTATGACAAACCGAAATAGTATAAATTTTGATTTAAATTAAAGATGTAGGTACTGAGTGTCATAGAATTTACATTTATGATATATACAATCTATATAATCATTGTACAGTCTAGAGGACGAATATAAATTGTATATATATTATTTAGTGCAAGTATCGATATAATATAATATTATTGTATTTTCAAAAACACCGGGCAGTTGCGCGAGGAAAACAAGTCTGTACGAGAACAGCGTTCAAAGCATGACTGATACACGTTAACGTGGTCACGATGTAGTTCAGAGGCGGTGTTCCTTTTACTCTAGTTCGCGTACACTGTGACTTCCCCCATGCCTATATGCATTATTATTTTTAATACAATAATACCTTACACACACACACACACACACACACACACACACACACACACACACACACACACACACAGAAGAAGTATATCACGAGTTTGCAATAATAATTGTTCACGTTTTAGCCACCGCCGCCAATGCCAGCTGGCTGCAGTTATTATATCCTCACGTAACATTTTACATTAGAATTTAATATAATATATATTAAAATAAAATAGCAGTAAGCACGCTATGTAGATAGGTACGCGATATTACAATAAACATAGGTAAGCACCTATATAGGTATTATTATCCGAAAATGACTTGAGGCGAATGTTTAATTCGAAAACGATAAATAAACCGTACGTAAATGTGGATAAAAAATAGTTAAGTGCTGAGGATTGGTCGTAATTTATTTTTTGTAATAACATTACTGTGTTGATTGTCTTGTATTTTTTTGGTCGATTTAAATTAATTCTTCACTCCTGCGATTATTACAATACCTATTAAATATATATATATATATATATATATATATATATACCTATATATATAACCCAGAAAGCATTTTGTAATGATAATATTATAATAGTATTATAGGTAATAACGTTATACTAATATTATTCGTGATTATAATGTTACAATATATTATTAACAAAAAATTGCTATCTGGGGAAGTATATAACATAATAGCATATATAATATCATATAATATGTACATTACAACAATATTGCAATATGTATCTACTACCTATCTGTCTATCTACGTATACATATGTACCTTGGTACCTATATATATTATACGTTATACGTTTCGAATAGTATAATTTAATTTTTATTTCAATACTATGTTTAATGATGTATACTTTAATAAGATTTTGAAAACAATTTTCCATCAAACTACCAAACAAGGTAGGTACCTATAGGTATACTGTGTAGTGTAGGTACTATAACCTATAGGTAATACTATGTATGACATTTAAATTAATTACTAACTATTTAATTATAACAATACTGATTTATATTTACACACATTGTATAATACTATGTATAATGAAATGTAGGTAAGTATACCTATAGACTATTCACTATTGGTACTTGCTCAGTTCCAGCTCAAAATGTTCCAATCAGTATTAGAACTGGTAAGTCACTATTATCCTTGTGTTCCAGCCAGGAGCATACCAAATAGCATAATGTACCTATATTACTGTACCTATTACGTCACGCAAGGATTTACAATCTTACTATATTTCACCAACACCCCCAGTTACCGAATTCTTTATTTCTTTAACCCAAGGTGGATTCAGACGCATTAGAAATTAAAAGCCCCAAGTTCCATCGGCTTCTCAGTAGCATTTTTATTTCTATAGGTAACTATAGGCTAACATAATAACGGTAATATTATTTTATAGTACCTACAAGGCTACAACGTATTTTTTTTATACAATACAAAATGGAATATAAATATACAATAATATCGTAATTTATGGGATTTAATTTTCATGTAGGAAAACAAAAAATATTTTATTGGTAGGTACCTACATTATGTTTTAATGATTTTAACAAAATTAACATTGTTAGGTAAATTATTTTTTTTTTCTAAAAAAAAAATTTCATACAAATATATAACTATTCAATTTAATTTATTGTAAAAACAAACCTTATACGAATGTTTTTTTATTATTGTTGGTTTTTAAATATTAGTTATTAATTTTATGACAATAGACAATATATTATGTATAATATATAGTAGATAGGACATTATAAATGGGATATTGATTTTTTTGTAACTAAAATCGTACAGGAATTTCATTGTATTTTGAAGGTTAGTTGAAACATATTATTACATATTATATTGTGTTAAGCTTAATGTGCAGAACTGTAAAAGGTAAGTATTAGAGTAATAATGTACCTACCTATGCATTTTAAATCCTAGATTAAATTAATTTAGTATATGAAATAACATAAAAATATAAAATATAAATATAAATAATACAAACACAAATAAACCTCAAACAACAATAATTATTGTCATTGATTTGTTCATTCGTACGTAAATTTAATTACTAACACGATAATTATTTACTTGTGAAAAGCTAGACAGGATACAAATACCGGTTAATGGGTAGCGGGATCTCGTCTTGCTTCGTTAGATGCAGGATAGTGTACCTATGTATTATTATTCAGTATTCTGAATTTGAATGAAATATCATAAATCATAATGTTAAAAAATGGTTCTGAGTGAATCTTGAATTACTATAGTACCTATTATGATAGTAATAACTAATAGAAAGTGTTTACATTTTTAAGAAACTCGTGGAATATTGTGCCTATATTTTCTTTATATTTTTTAACTGCTATAGTAACAATATATCAGGAGCCTTGTGAATTGTATTAAATTTTCACACTTTTTTACCCAACAAATAACATTTTGTTGACATTTATAGAAAAATAAAATAAAAAAATAAAAATTGAAAATGTACGATACGTTAACAGCTCAAAATATTTTGAAAATTGTATCAAGTAAAGGAATCGATAAATAAAATTTAAATGAATATAAATGTCAAGTGTCTACTGTTATTCAATTTTGAATTTTTTTGTAAAAATTAAACTTCAACCGTTCATTAAAATTTAATTTGACTTTCAGGTAGACATTTTTTTTTGAAAAAGATAGATAAACTTACGAGGAATCTTGAATTAAATATTAATATCTTTGATTGAAAAAAAAAAAATTTTTATGAATTTCAAAATTAAAATAATTTACAAATTTTTGTGATATTTACGTATATTTTGTCAAAATTCAACTTCAAATGCTTAAAAAAAAAATTATGACTTTATATTTTTAATATTTTTCAACTACTATTGTAACAATATATTTAGTCGAGCCAATTATATTACGCTTTCAAAGCGATTTGATCCAACAATTAAAATTGTATTGACATTTAAAGAAAAAAAAACTAAACAATTTGGAAACTGAAAATGTCCGTAAACCACTCAAAACAAGTAAAAATATTTTGAAAATTGTAATGTGTATAGAAAATTCTGATATAAATATTCAGTGAAAATTGCATGTATCTACTGTTATTTTTTTTAGAATTTCACCAAAAACCAAAATCGATTATGTTGAAAACAGATTTTGCCTAAAAATTACAATTTTTGTTATGTTTTTCCCTGCAGTGATTATGAAAATTATTGAGACTTTCAAATTTTGACCTCCCGAATGCACTAACCAGATTTACTTTCCCATCGAACGAGATACTGCGTTGAAGACAACCGAAGCTGTGTTACTGCCCAAAACGGCGATGACAGACACAAAAAAAAAATATATATAAAAAATAAATAAAAAAACACACATTATTGTAAAATCAATACATTCATCGCTCTGCTCAGAATCTAAAATCATTGCATTTCTAAGATTAATATAATTAAATTAGTAGATTGATAAATAGTTAATAGATTATAATTTATATTAATTTTCAAAGAAAGTATATGTATATACCTACCTACTTTCAAGAAACATATCAACACTGGACATAAATATAAAATCAATCACTTAACTTTTAAATTGCCTTATAATATTGTTTAAAAATGATCAGCAATTGTTTAAGAAATAACAATACTTTAACTCAAATACTTGACCCACAATATTTTCTCTATCGTGAGGTTATAAGTTATAAATTACGAGATAGGTCTACACATTTTACAGATACAGTACGTAGTACCTACATATGTCCCCATCGCAAAAATCTAGTGAAATCATTTTTATTTTGTTTCTTTACAAAGTAGCAGATTTAGAATGATGTTAGAATAGGTAGGCAGTAGGTGCATTATTGTACAATGTATAATATACCTACCTACTATACCTACAATATTACAATATCATTTCGATCGATCAAAAACTGTACAAATGTAAATCAAAACTAAAACTAAAATAAAGCAATGTAGATAGACTGATAAGTTTATTCGTATGATGATCTTTAACTACCTATATAATTTAAATATTGCAGTATCCTTGAGTTTAATATTTATGTGGTCATTTAATTTTATGCGGGTGCGGTTTGTTTAGTAAATATATATTTAAATTAAATTTGAAGGAACTGTGTATAATATTGTAGGCGTTCATTACATCACAAGAACCATTACTTACATATTATTATAATATGCTATGCTGCACGTATATATGTAATATGTATATTTTATATGTATATACGATGTACACAATATTGAATATACACATAAATTTTTTTTAACGCTACCATTATTTAAAAATATTTCATAAGTCATAAAAAAAATCTATTATATACATATAATAGTATATAGATAGATCATTTATAGTCAATCCTAGATAAACTGTACAGTATTATATTATATTGTATACGATTGGGATGACTATAACGAATGTAGGTTATACCTACTATTATTATTTTATAGGAATATGTAGGTTTATTATTATTGTTTAAAATGCATGATAATAATATTTACTTAGGTAGGTACACGAAATTTTATCAGTGTGTCAATCATCTGACATATTTCAAACATGGAAATTATAATCATCATAATATTATATTACCTATTTTAGTTAGTACAATTCAAAATATTATAGAGGATTTGCATATAGATAATTCTAATATAAACTCATTGCAGAGAACATAATACCTATCTAATTTTATATAACATGATTTTATGCTTAGCTTTTAAATTAAATTAATTTCACTTAATTTTTGAAGCAAGAATGCAATTATTCTGTCTTAACCTGCGAGAACAATCTTCCAACGTAGGTACCTATCGTATTATTGTATACATTTTTTCGTTGTCAATATATTAATTATATTGTTTTCGTATTCTAAACTTGATATATATTACGTATGTAATATTATGTATTCAATTACGAGTGTTTATTATATATATTATTGAATTCATGTTTATATTTATAATTTATATATTATGTTATGCTGCCTGTGACATAGTGTGATTTGAAATCCGTTTGACCGTTTCATTTGGTTTTTGGCATTGTTTAGCTTTACGATCGATAGTACATTAGTACATAATTATTGTTCGTATACGATTACAATCAATCGTTGTTGTTTATAATTAATTAATAGTTATTATTGTCTTTATATTACAACTGTGACGAAAACTAGTTGATGAATAGTTATATACTTTGACGTAATGTACACTATTCAATATTGTGCTTAATACTTTAATGTTAGGGTCTTATTGCAGTACCTACGAACTGTACGTCTGCATCATGAGTTGTAGGTAGTAGGTACTAGGTACTCGTAGTAGCCTATATGTATTAACGTAATATTAGGTTCAATTTAAATGCAGATCACGATATTTTTACCCTATAATGATAGTTGCGAAAATGACGAAAACAAACAATGAACTGAAACTAGAGCAAACACAATTGGACGGACGGACAGATAGTGCGGGAGAGAGTGCATAAACGAAATAATAATTGGACTACGTTTGTATACATTGTGTGAAACTAGTAATTTCCCCTTCTATCGGTTAGAGAGCAACAGAGTTTAAAACGAATGATGATGGTTTATACGAGTGTACGGAAATTTAAATGGCGTTTGCTTATAATTTGGTGTCTCAAAACGATTTATAATAAATAATACGAATAACAATACACATAATATACCTATTACCTACATTATACATTATATTCCTTAATACCTATATAAATATAATATAATATATGGTAGGTATCGTATCTGTACATAATTTCGAGTTCGAGATATATAATACTACGTCACAAATAAATATAACAATATATTATATAGATGTATAATATTGTGTATTATATACATTCGTTTAAGTATTATATTAATAAAACATAATATATAGGTATACCTAATATAACTGTTTAAGTCAATCCAGTTCTGTTCATATATATATCTATATGTAACTATACGAGCTATACCTATCTATTGTACAATATGATATAACGTTGGGAAGATAAAACACTTTAGAGTTGTATACACATAATATTATATTATATTATATTTATATTATATGTACCTACTTACTAGTTTATAATGTGAACTACCTCTGACTGTCATAGAAAATGTTCACACGTTCACTTTTATTTCGTCTGACGCGCATTCTTGTTTCTTATAACATTAGGTATAGTTAGGTAGCATAGCCAAAAATCATGCATTAATTCACTCGCGTCGCCAAGAATCGTGATCCGTAGATTGCATAATAATAGGAAAAATAAGCTGAGCAAAAATAAATTATATATTTTTTTATTTACGATATAAGAAACGTGAAAGAAGTCAATTTATTATACACCAACTTTGTAATATAATATATATAGGACAGGTGGACAGGTATTCTAGGGTCAAAATACTTGAATTGAATTTAATTTTTTAACAAGCCACACATCATACTAGATATTAGTTATTACTGGACTTATTATAGATATTAAATATAATATACAATATTATAATATAATAGATTGTATTTGTACGTATGAAAACATGCTACATTTTGCGTTTTTCGTTGGTTTCGGTTGCCACAGTGGATCTTGGGATAAGTCTCGATGTTTCTCGGCCCCGTACTAATAATTCCTGCGATATGGACGGATCTCCGATTGCTGATCTTGACCTAGAGTAAGATAGTGATGGAGGATCTCGGTCTACGTAATCAGCTGGGTAATAAGTAGTCCTCGGCGCAGAAACCATATTAATCCTAGTTCTCCGAGGAATATCGACCAAACTATTCCTATACCGAAGGTTAGAACCCCTAAAAAAATTGTTATAATTAGAATGTTATATTGTATGCAAAATGTTCATTGAATTATTTTGAATATAAAATAGAAAAAATATGCTATACACTCCTATGATATATAACAAATACATTTATAAATTATAATAAATTTACCTATATTATTAGGTTCGTTTAATAACATTATTTTATTTTAGTCGTTTTAATCGTGTATAATTTATAACCTTAAATGTGGGAAAAAGTATGTAGTTCAACGAGAAAATGAATTGCTATACTACAGAACATAATATTGACAAAGTAGGTAGAAATCATATTAAAATAATGCATTGTATTGAAATGAAAAGGTTTATTTTCTTTACCTCTCTCTTATAATATTATTGTGACTAACATGTTTTAATAATGTATTTTTTATTATTTAAATATTTTTCAACAGTAATAAAATGATTTGACAAAATCATATGTCTCTCTATATCAAATGGAAAGTGGACACAAATAGGTACACAATAGGTTATTTTTACAAATTGTCAAACCTTTTCGAGAAAAATATGAAACGAAAAATTGTTGTTGAGTTATTAATAAAAAGTCGTTCATATTTCTTATTTAAAGTATAGGTACCTAGAAAACCTACGTATTATAAAGGTACTGTATTTTAAAATAAACATGTAGGTAGTTTTACACATAGATTTTCATACCTATTTAATTTTGTAATATATTTGCAGAAGAGACTTGATCGCTTTTTTGATTAAAATACATTTTACATTACATATTTACATTTATAGGATTCATATTAATCAGAAAAAAATATTTAAGGAGACAAACATGCAGGTGTTTAAGTATAGCCACCTTTTAAGTATTTTCCAGCATAATTTTTTTTAAATATGATTTTCTAAAAACTACCTATACCTATCAGTACTGAATTTGAATATCCAGATTTTATTTAAATTCTCCTTGAAGTGAGGTAGAGAAATGTATAATTATATGTCTATGAAATAATCTATTAAGTATATTCATTTTAAAATTATGCTTTTATTTAAATATTTTTAAAACTTTTTATAAAAACAGCTTTTTGAGCAGAAGAAGTGCTCCAACAGTCCAACAATTTTAAGATTATACCTCTATAGTGCCGCTATATCAATCGATTTGAAAGTAAAGGGTAGTCTACACCAGAAGACGTAATTTTGCCTAAATTTTCTCAGTAGTTTTATATTCAGTACTATTTCGTATATATAGCCTTTACAAGTAGATGTGTATAGGTCTAAAGTCTATGTAGTAGGTACCTATAATAAGGTTAAAAATATAACCTACACACAACATGACGTTTCGTTGAAAATTGACAACTTATATTGTCATAAATCAAATATAAGATAAAATTTAAACATTAAGTTACCTGATTGTGTTGTCCACATAATCATAATTACGATCAACGTATTCCTGAGTTAGTAAAGGATCTGAGTCATATGCATTGTTCAAATTGTTTATAATTCGGTTTCTTGGATAAGATCTCCCGTAACCATTCCGATCAAGAACGGATGATCTAAGTCGTGAAGGTCCATAACTATCTCCTAAACCGTAAGCTTGAAGAATTTGACTTATTACTTCGCCACCAGGATAGTATTCACTGTTAGCATCCATTTCCAGCCATGTAGGATTTATGTAACGGTTTATCTGTCCATCAGTAGTTATGACCATTGCAGTTATAACAAGCTAAAACATTATTATTAAATATTAACAGTACCTATTTATTAATAAAATATTGATTCAATTTGAGTTATTTTTGAACAATAACAAAAAATTAAATTACATATGTAAGTATCATATTATATTATATTCTAAGAAATGTTACCATGTAAAACATTGGGAATGAGTACATCATAATAATTGTCTTTAGAGCAAACTAATTCTTTGAATAAAACTACATGAATGCTTGTCGTTACATCGTGACCCACCTCTATATATAAATTGAAATAAAATATAAATTATTGTGATCATTTACCTGTGACAAAACGTGATGTATGAAATTAGTTTAGATATATATGATCATCGATCACTGATTAACCGTAAGGTCATGTTGTGGTTTTATATGAGTATGATGATAACGCCAACGATAAAAACCGTTTGAAAATTGGCCTATATAAATTATTTAATTTAGATTTTATCATTATGTGTTTTGTTTGCATTTCACTTCTTATAAAATGCTTTAAGCCACCATATAACCTTCGGTTAAAGGACAGCGTTTATTTTAATTATTGACCATCGAATATAAAAAAATGAAAACTTAAAAATACTGAAAAAACTTAAATATAACTTATATTTAAAATAACAATCTTATGTTATTATTGAAATTTAATTTCACTTCTTTAGAGAATATTTTTAACTTTGAATGTCACATTTAAGTTCTCTATACTTTTTAATATGTTCAAGAAATGATTAATTAATTGTATTACGATGGTTAATGATTTTATTTAAATATATATTATATATAAATATACGTTATAGGGACATATACTTATACAAATGGTAAAACTGTAAGTTATAATATGTTAAAACTTTATAAGTACCTATCTAATAATGCAATTTTTTTTTTACCTAATTGTATATAGGTATCCTTTTATATATATAAAAGAACATGGCTTTTTTATTTTCCAATTTACTGACGATACTATTGTACCTATTTCCAATTTTTTTTCACAGTGTTGTTCCGAATACGTCGACAGATTTTTCATTTTTTTTGGCTTTGGGGGAGGAGAGGAGGTGTACTGTATTTAAAGGTTCCGGTTTTTAGTGTGTCATTTAAATAATTTAACGATTTTTTTCACAACTTTGTTCCAAATACTCCTCCGAGTGATCTATTACTTCCAATTTAATTGTTACTTAAGAAAATGCAAATCCTATTGTTTAAGAAGACACGATTTTATTTCTCATTTCAGTTAATGAGCTGTAAATTGTAATCCGTTTTTATATTTGAAATATATCTTTAATGTATGTTGTTTGAGAGAAATGTACACAGTAGTACAGTACCCAAACAGATTATATTATAATCGTTTACACACTCTGTCGTAAATAAAGACTGGCCGAAATTATAAAATACAAATTAATATAAATTTTGTAACATAAATAGTTTTAAATTTTAATAATTATAAATACATTAGAGTTGTAACACCGATCTCTTTATTTTTATACCACGACTAACTAAATTTTATAAATTGTAAACATATATTAAGTTTAAACTTTAACATTAGGTACCATAACAATTATCTAAAATGTATTTTTATGACTTAATCTATTATCGAGATACACCGATAAATACCGAATTTTAGATGTGTTCATTTTTTCCCGGGCAAAGTCGGGTGATACAGCTATAGTATTATATAAATATAAATAACATATCAGTGTATTAAATCATTTGCAGCTATACAAGTTAGAAATAAAAATTATTAGTTATTTAGGCACAAAAGAACATTAACAAATTGTAAATATTATATATAAATACGTGACAAAATATTAATTACCAACTACAAGTTACACATTTTTACAAGACAACGTTATTGTAATAAGCTTCCTTATACTTTTCAAACATTCTTGAATACCTTGAGATATTGTAATTTAAAATTTTTATTAAAAGAAATAGAAATAGAACTTTAGGTATAAAACCGTAGGTCGTAATTTCTTGTTGTCTTTGACAAAATAAATGTTTTACATAATTTAATAAAAATAAATATAGTTTAATGGTTTTTTGGGTAGCGGCAGTGTAACAGAATAAAATATACATACAAAACAAATAAAGATATTATATTTTAAGTTGGGTAGGAAAAAAAACAAAATACTTTAGGCTATAGAGCGTTAATAATGTCCAGTGTTCACTGTTCACATTGTATTCGTTGTAGCCCTGAAACGACGGAACTAACTATATAGGTATTATATTATTTATGTACCTCTATAAAATCAATAAAAAAAACCACAAAAGTTATTAATTATTTTACGGTCAAAAGTATTTTAAATTCTAAACAGAGCGAAGAAGCTATTGATTTTCCGGTAATGTGTTTGGTTTTTTTGTATATAGGCTACCTATTATAATATTAGGTACTAACATTATATATTTTGAGTTGTGGTAACAATATTACCTACTAATGTGGTTTTTCTGTTACCAACCGCTATGTTAGCAGTTATCTGTCTACGAAAACATGATTCTTGACGCCAAAAAAGTAAATAGAAATTGATAAATTATTACACTATCAAAATCAAGGTTTTTCCAAATAACTTCTTAAATATCCTCAATATATAAATTTCTTAAAACTCCTGCTTATTGCACATTAAGAGCATTTTAGAGGAACCGCTATGCCAAATTTCAAGTTTTTACGTTTTGTTGTTTTTAAGAAATAGCGATGAGTGAGTAATTATAGGTACATATTGTAGATTAAAAAAATTTGTTGTTAAATAATAATGTGTTTAAACTTTAAGATACGCAGTATAATAAACTATTTTATTATGTACATTGTACAGTGGTGAACTAAAAAAAAAAAACAAAGCTTTAAGGTAGAAGATCAGAACTATGTTTTGAATTCGTAACTAAAATTTTTAAATTTCACATTATAATAATAGCATAATGTTTCTTGAATTGAATTAAAAGTATCTACCAATAATTTTCTGTGTAAGATAATATACTTGCGGGTTAATTTATAGTTATTTGAGTGATGTACCTCATATGTGAGTGCATTATAAATTATAATCAGTTATTTCAACTATACTTACCTATTTCATTATATACCGTGATATAACTATATGAGAGCAGTCGACTACACTGGTTGATAACCATGTTTTTTTTATCATTCTTTACGCATGTTAGTGATTGTTAACCCCCCCCCCCCTCAAAGGTAGGTAAGTTAAAGAATATAAAATGGATGAATTTGTGATTTGTATTAGATTAATATATAATATACACTATATAGCTTGAACAATAATTATATACTTAATAATAATAAATAATAATACTGCTATTGAAGGTAGGTAGATGTCCCACGATGTTCGTCCAAATTTCGTTTGTGGTCTTGTGAGCCCAGAGTAACAAAACAAATAGGTACATTCCTCGCTCCGGTCAGAACTTTAAGGTCTTGATTTCCATCTTCCAAGGAATAGGTAAAGACATATTTTAAACGGGAACGTATTTAAAAACTATAGGCTTCTAACCTAACTTACCGGCAAATTTCTATGCCACTGCAATTTATATAAGTACATTTTATAGTCCACACCATTAAAAAAAAATATATATGTATCATGGAGCACCCTGTAAATATACACTAAAACTAATATCACAATTAATGTATATTAAATCTAAGACAAATTATTAAACTCTTGTAAGATTTTTTTTAGTATGAATTATTTGGCGTGGATGGCATCAATGTCTTGTTTATATGAGGTTCGATATTACTATATTTATCATCAACCTGTAAACAAAATCAAATATAAAATATTTAAATACGTATCATGTATGAGGGTAATTGGAAATTTGGAATTAGGTACTCAAATATGTTACGTAAACAGTAAAATAGAACTTAAATTACCTAATGAAATACTTGATCATAAAACTTAAAAAAAAACAGCTTTGATCGGTAGATATTTTAAAAAAGCAAAACAGTAAAATTGCGATTCTTTTTACATACGTCATCAAGCCCGAATTAAGATAATTTTGGGCCAGGGACAAAATAGTAACGATATATCCATAATCCATTTATTATAGGAAACACACTACTGACAGTGGCCTTCACCATTGTTTGATATCCCTTGTGGGCTGCCCGGGCCCCCTTGCTCCCCTTTATTCCGGGCTTGTACGCGATAGATAAATAAATAAACAATACTTGAAAAATTCTAATTAACACTTTAAAGTTTAAATATCTATCATCTAAGTGTCATTTCATAACAATTTACATAAATGCATTACCTACACATTATACAAATAGCCACATAGGTGTAGTGCATATTATACATTATTATTAACTATTATACATAAGTATAGAAACTATTTAGCCTTACCATCTGTGAATACGTTTGTATCTCGTGAAAATCGCAAATAAGTTGTATTGAACACTTTAATTTTGCATCGATATTTTGTCCCGTGATTGGTACAATCAAATTAAATTTAATCATAGGATTGTTTATTGAATCCACGGTATTCACTAATCCTGCAGCCACTACTGGAGATGATTTTCCCGTTACCAAGTGTACATTGATAAATAAACCATGCTGTAATGACAAAATATTTTACGATATTTTTTTGGATTTATTTTTAAGAAATTATACTAATATTATATTACCTTTGCAACAAAATGTAAAAGTTCTACGCTACTATTGCTGCGGTAGAAACAACTGCAGTTGAAATCAGCAGACCAAGCTAGACGACTGGGCGAATAAGCAACATCTTCTTGGTCTTTAAAACCCCATGTGAGAAAAATATTTGGTTCCGACTGTAACGATCTGATAAATAAAAATAAATAATATAAGTTTATTGTAGAATAAAACTAATGCTGCAAATATTTATTTAAAAGGATGTATTAAAATCAAAACACGTACTTTAAATGTTGTATACTTTCCGTAGAAAAGTTTACACTGTTTATATTGATTTCTAGTTGTGCAGAATTTTCTTGAATTCTAGGTGTGTTCTAAAATGTTTAAAAAATATTTTTATTACACTTTAATATTAAACTTATAAATATCAATTAATTACCTAATAAATACACCTAATTATACTATAATTAAATTTAATATATTTAATTTTGCAACATTAATTGATAAATAAAATTATAGAAGTTATTAATATTATTTATTTAAATTATAAAATACCTACATAAGTGACGTATTACTTATTGGGGAGTTATAAAT